AAAACTCAGGCAATAGATAATCCCACACCAACAAACACCAAAAAAGGACAACACAACAGGACCACAAAAAATAACAGGAATTAACAATCACTGGTCATTAATATCCATCAATATCAATGGTCTCAACTCAACTATAAAAAGACACAGACTAACATAATGGATAAGAAAACAGGATCCATCCATCTGCTGCATACAAGAAACACACCTTAACTTCAAAGACAGACACTACCTCAGAGTAAAGGGCTGGGAAAAGGCTTTCCAAGCAAATGGACCTAAGAAACAAGCTGGTGTAGTTATCCTAATATCTAATAAAATAGACTTCAAACTAAAATCAATCAAAAGAGATCAGGATGGACATTACATATTTATCACAGGAAAAATCCACCAAGATGAAGTCTCTATTCTGAACATTTATGCCCCAAATACAAAGGCACCCACATGTATAAAAGAAACATTACTAAAACTTAAATGGCACATCAAACCCCACACATTAGTAGTGGGAGATTTCAACATACCACTCTCACCAAAAGACAGATCTACCAGCCTGAAACTTAACAAAGAAATAAAGGACCTAACAGATGTTATGACTCAAATGGACTTAATAGATATCTACATCACATTCCATCCTAACACAAAAGAATATACCTTCTTATTAGCACCCCATGGAACCTTCTCAAAAATCGACCACATGCTTGGTCACAAAACAAATCTCAACAGATACAAAAACATTGGAATAACCTCCTGTATCTCATCAGACCACCATGCCTTAAAGTTAGACTTCAACAACAACAAAAATTATAGAAAGCCTACAATCTCATGGAAACTGAATAATGCCCACCTGAAACATCAATGGGTCAAGGAAGAAATAAAGAAAGAAATTAAAGATTTCCTAGAATTCAATGAAAATGAAAGTACAACATACCCAAACTTATGGGACACTATGAAAGCAGTGCTAAGAGGAAAATTCATGGCTCTAAATGAACAAATAAAGAAGATGGAGAAATCCCATACCAATGAATTAACAGCACACCTGAAAGCTCTAGAACAAAAAGAAACAAACTCACCCAGGAGAAACAGACGCCAGGAAATAATCAAATTGTGGGCTGAAATTAACAAAATAGAAACCAAGAGAACTATACAAAAAAATCATTGAAACAAAGAGTTGGTTCTTTGAAAAAATCAACAAGATAGACAAACCCCTAGCCAAATTAACCAAAAGGCAAAGAGAGAGCACCCAAATTAACAAAATCAGAAATGAAAAGGGAGATATAACAACAGACAACAAGAAAATCCAAAGAATCATCAGGTCATACGTCAAAAACCTGTACTCCACAAAATTGGAAAATCTGGAAGAAATGGACAATTTTCTGGATAGATACCACATACCAAAATTAAATCAAGACCAGATAAACCATTTAAATAGACCAATAACCCCTAAAGAAATAGAAACAGTCATCAAAAGTCTCCCAACCAAAAAAACCCAAGGACCAGATGGTTTCAGTGCAGAATTCTACCAGACTTTCAAAGAAGAACTAATACCAATACTCTTCAAATTGTTCCACACAATAGAAACAGAAGGAACACTACCAAACTCTTTTTATGAGGCTACAATTACTCTGATACCCAAACCACACAAAGATGCAACAAAGAGAGAATTACAGACCAATCTCCCTCATGAACATTGATGCAAAAATACTCAACAAAATATTGGCAAACGGAATCCAAGAATACATCAAAACAATTATCCATCACGACCAAGTAGGTTTCATCCCAGGGATGCAAGGATGGTTCAACATACGAAAATGTAATACACCATATAAACAAACTGAAAGAAAAAAATCACATGATCATCTCATTAGATGCTGAAAAAGCCTTTGACAAAATCCAACACCTCTTCATGATAAAAGTCTTAGAGAGATCAGGAATACAAGGAGCATTCCTAAACATAATAAAGGCAATTTACAGCAAGCCAACAGCCAATATCAAATTAAATGGAGAGAAACTCAAAGCGATTCCACTAAAATCAGGAACAAGACAAGGCTGTCCGCTCTCCCCATACTTATTCAATATAGTACTTGAAGTTCTAGCCAGAGCAATAAGACAACATAAGGAGATTAAGGGGATACAAATTGGAAAGGAAGAAGTCAAACTTTTATTATTTGCAGATGATATGATAGTATACATAAGTGATCCCAAAAATTCTACCAGGGAACTCCTATAGCTGATAAACTCCTTCAGTAAAGTGGCAGGATACAAGATAAACTCAAAAAAATCAGTAGCCCTCCTACACATAAATGATAAAAGGGCTGAGAAAGAAGTCAGAGAAACATCACCCTTTACAATAGCCACAAATAATATAAAATACCTTGGGATAACACTAACTAAACAAGTGAAGGACCTTTTTGATAAGAACTTTAAATCTCGAAAGCAATTGAAGAAGATCTCAGAAAATGGAAGGATCTCCCATGCTCATGGATAGGCAGGATTAACATAGTAAAAATGGCAATCTTACCAAAAGCAATCTTCAGATTCAATGCAATCCCCATCAAAATCCCAACACAGTTCTTCACAGACTTGGAAAGAAAAATACTCAACTTCATATGGAAAAACAAAAGATCCAGGATAGCTAAAAGAATCCTGTATGATAAAGCAACCTCTGGAGGCATCACCATCCCTGACCTCAAGCTCTACTATAGAGCTATAGTAACAAAAACAGCTTGGTACTGGTATAAAAACCGACATACGGACCAATGGAATCAAATTGAAGACCCTGACATTAATCCATGCACATATGAACACCTGATTTTTGGCAAAGAAGCCAAAACTATACAATGGAAAAAAGAAAGTATCTTCAACAAATGGTGCTGGCATAACTGGATGTCAATATGTAAAAGATTACAAATAGATCCATATCTGTAACCTTGCACAAAACTCAAGTCCAAGTGGATCAAAGACCTCAACATAAATCCAGTTACATTAATCTTAATAGAAGAGAAAGTAAGAAGTACTCTTGAACGCATTGGCACCGGAGACCACTTCCTAAATATAACACTAACAGCACAGACACTGAGCACAACAATTAATAAATGGGACCTCTTGAAACTGAGAAGGTTTTACAGGGCAAAAGACACAGTCAATAAGACAAAAAGACAGCCTACAGAATGGGAAAAGATCTTCACCAACCCCACATCTGACAGAAAATTGATCTCTACAGTATATAAAGAACTCAAGAAACTAGACATCAAAATACTGAACAACCCAGTTAAAAAATGGGCTAAAGAGCTAAACAGAGAATTCTCAAAAGAAGAATCACAAATGGCTGAAAGACATTTAAAGAAATGCTCAACATTCTTAATCATCAGAGAAATGCAAATCAAAACGACTCTGAGATACCACCTTACTGCTCTCAGAATGGCTATGATCAAAAACACTAATGACAGTCAATGTTGGAGAGGATGTGGAGCAAAGGGAACACTCCTTCATTGTTGGTGGGAATGCAAGCTTATACAATCACTGTGGAAATCAGTGTGGCGGTTTCTCAGAAAATTAGGAATCAAATTACCTCAAGACCCAGCTATACAACTCTTGGGCATATACCCAAGGAATGCTGATTCATACCACAAAGATACATGCTCATCTATGTTCATAGCAGCACTATTTGTAATAGTGAGAACCTGGAAACAACCTAGATACCCCTCAACTGAAGAATGGATTAAGAAAATGTGGTACATATACACAATGGAGTACTACTCAGCAGAGAAAAACAATGACAGCATGAAATTTGCAGGCAAATGGATGGAACTAGAAAAAATCATCCTGAGTGAGGTAACCCAAACCCAGAAGGACAAATGTGATATGTACTCACTCATAAGTGGATTCTAGATATAAAGTAAAGAACAATCATACTACAACCCACAGAACCATGGAGGCTATATATATAACATGGGTGGCCCTAGGATGACTGTGGCTTACAATAAGTTTTGGTTTTACTCCATTACTGAGCAAACCTCAATGAAACATTTCACTATTAGGATAAGAATTTATACTGTATCAAGCTGATAATAGAAAAATTAATTAATTAATTTAAAAAATAAAAAAATAAAAATAAAAATAAAAAATAAAAGAAAAATTTAAACTATTAAAAAAAAACCCAAACAAACATATTTTGCTAAAGTAAAAAGGGGGAACTAGGGACTCATCATTCCTCTCCACATTCTATTCTTTCCCTTGTTTTATATATTTTAAATTTTTATCGGTGGATTCTGCTGGAGTATCCGCTGCAGATAAGCACTGGAGGGCTCCTGTTGCAAATCACCCTCTGGAGTGATGGAAGGATCTTTCTATTGGCACTTGGAGGAGACACGATCTGGTATTGGTGTGGGCCTGGGGTTCAGTTTATGTCTTTCCTCAGGACAATGAGGTTCCTCTTTGGATTCCTGAGCACAGAGTGCACCCTGTGGCTGCTGCTGAAGCCCAACATAGCAGAGACCTATTGGGCCTTTGTGAAAAACTCTCCCCTTCTGACGCCAATGGGGATTGAGAGCCCAATTTGGCCAACTTTGGCAAGCATTAATGTAAGCCTAGGAACTGTAGCCATGCAGTTGGATTCTCCAGAAGGTAATGTATGGTAACTGCTTTTTCAAGTATGTTTGAGAACATGTCACCCAGACACCTTGGAGATTAAGGATAACCCTGAAGGTCACTGACCTCCATTTGTTAACAGTTGCATGCCAACTAAGCCTTTTCATTTTCAAAATCCTCTTCAAGCTGGCATAATACATACTTTTCAGGAGCGGCTCTGTGCAACATTTATTGGCCTCCTGAAATTCATTTAACCCCCTTTGAAGATACCTTAAAATTTATCAGCCTAAATGTAACCATTATAAGACCATTAGTTATGTTCCTTGTGAGATGCCTGTTTTTTGTTTTTTTTTTTTTTTTTTTTTTTTTTTTTTTTTATGGTTCTTAGTTGTTCTTTTGCAGAGCTGCCTGATTAAGTTGTGCTGGGATCAAGAAAAATGGACCTTGGCGATTCATGTTCCTGGAGTTATCCATGCCAGTGGATGCCCACACACTCCAGAAGAGAATTTGACATTGCTGCTGCCATTGTTACTGTTATAGCAGAGGTGGCCACCTGTGCTACTGTTTCTGGGATTACCATTTCATAATTGGTTACTACAGCTAGCACAGTGGAGACCCTGGCAGCAAAAGTAGCTACCACAGTTAATTAATCTTTCATTCTATTGGGCATGATAAATTTAATTCAATAGTTATGTACATTTCGACTGGCTTTGAAAATTATAAATTTATAAACTCAAGTTCCATTTGCTTTTAGTATACCATCTTACAAGGACTCCAATTTGCAGTAAGGCTCATTAAGGAAGGGAATGTTGCCTTTAGCCTACTGGCTATGGGTGGGTTAGGACTTCTGTTGGTCTTTTCTGTGTCGAACACGCAGATTGCAAGCCCAGTGCCACTTTGAGATCTTTGGCAGCTCATACACTGTTGAGCCTGTATGATAATGAGTATTCAGAGACGGGTAATACCTGGGGGGCGCTCACCAACCTAAGACAGAGCACCTGTGTGGCCTGGGCAGGCATCTCCATGACAGGTTAGGTGACCTGCTGATGTCCCATGCAACCTAAGTCAGAAGCTCATTTATTAGTAAAAAGGGGACCTGTAGGGCCCTGGCCCCCGTTTTAGGTAACTGTTGCCTTGCTTGCTGACCTTGATATCCTCCCTACGCTAATTCCCTCCCAGGTTCCACCCTCCTGAATGCTTAAGGGAAGTTCATTGTCTATGTATCCTGCATAATGGGCATTAACAGCTTAGATGCAAGATTGTAAAACATCTGTAGCGAACTTCTGCCCTCCAGGGTTCTCCCATTGTGCTGTAAGCCTATATTTAAGACCTCCTCCCTCCTTCAATAAACGGCATTTGGCATTAAAAAAACCAACAAAACAAACAAAAAAACCCCTAAAAAACCAAAAAAACAAAAAACAGGGCAACAACAACAAAACAAGACAAAAACAAAAAAACCTCTAAAGAGAAATGAAAAATAGTGAAAAAATTTGGTGCTGTAGCACACAACTATGGTAATATTTTATTTGTACTGAAATGTGATTTTATTTGTATGTTAATAAATAAAGTTGCCTCGGGGTCAGAGCTAATAGCAAGCCATAGTAGAAGCTGGGCAGTGGTGGTGCTCACCTTTAATCACTTGGGTGCAGAGCTAGGCAGATCTCTGTGTGTTCAAGGATACAGCCAGCATGTAGACACACGCCTTTAATCTCAGTACCAACCACAGAAGACCTGGAGGTCTGTATAGACAGGCAGTGATGAGGAGGTCATGTGGTTGGGTTTACAACCAATGAGAAGGCAGAACAGAAAGTCAATAAAAGGACAGACACACAGGAAGTAGGCCTCTCTTTTCTGAGGGGAAGGATGACAGCGGCAGCTAAGGGTAAGAAAGGCAGTTTTAAGTCTCAGCTTTCAGCTACTGCTCTGACCTCTTGGGCTTTTAACTCTGCAATTGGCTCTGTGTTTCTTATTTAATAAGACTGTTCATCTACATACAACTGTTAATTTTAGCACTTAGGAAGCTGAAGAAGGAGGATTGTTGTGAGTTAAAAGACTAGTCTAGGCTAAAGAATGAGACACTAGCTTGGTGGTGGTGGTGGTGGTGCATGCCTTTAATCCCAGCACTTGGGAGGCAGAGACAGGCAGATTTCTGTGAGTTTGAGGCCAGCAGAAGCAGGCAGACTTCTGAGTTCCGGGCCAGCCTGGCCTACAGAGTGAATGAATTCCAGGGTAGCCAGGGTGAAACCCTGTCTTGAAAATACACACATACACAAAAGTGTGACACTATTTCTCACACATACACACACACACCTCAAATAAGACCAAACAACAAACAAAGCGGGAGATTTACAATGCACACATCTGAAATTGACTAAGCATCTAACATGCATAAAAAGATTCTTAAAAAATATGAAGGGCTAGGGACATAGCTGAATAGATCACTTTCCTAGCATACATGAGGGCCTGACTTCAATTCTCTCCCTCAGTCAATATGAAAAAGAGAATACTTAGTTGAAAAAACTGGGGGTGGGGGTGGTCAATGCTTAAGAGAAGTGGCCAGGAGTGGCGCTAATTCCAGCACCCTGTAGTCTGAGCCTGGCAGGATTAGACTGGCCTGGGCTACAGACAGACAAAAACCAAACTACAGAATACCTATGCTGTTGTCAATCCATTGGATAAAAACATATTTACATTATCCTGCGGTGCCGTTGCAAGCTTCTGTGAAAACTGTGGGACAGGCGAGGGTAGGGTTTGTGTGGATCTCACGAGACTCGAACGTGTACCTGAGAGCAGCCCAGCGCAGGGCATCACAGCCCCACTGCCCAGTGTCCAACCACCACTCCAAAGGTCGGTGGCCTCGCCTGTGAGGAAGACGATGGTTCCGCCCGAGTCTGGCTGCTCCGACATGAGCTCCCTCGGTGGGACGGAGCCGAACCCTGCCCTCCACACATTCAGTCTCACACCCCCTGACTGTGGTGCCTGGCAGGGCCTCGGAGGGGCGATGCAGGCCACCGGGGCAGGTGAGCACAGCATGGCACCTCGGCCTGCAGAGGCACCTGGAGCCTTCTGGGAGCCTGCTGCAGAGAAGTCTCCCCAGAACCGAGCCTGCGGGAATCCTGGCCACAGCATCGCAGTGGGCATCGACAGGGTGGGGCAGGAGGTGGCCTCACCACCCCGGAAGGCCTGGAGGCCACCCCTGACGAAGGCTTCACGTGAGGCTTGCCAGGTCCAGGCGGGGCAAAGGCCCCAGAAAGCTGCAGCGCAGCAAGGCCTGCCCCGATGGCATGGCTAAGGCCAAGGCCAAGGTCTAGACAAGACCGACAAGAGCGCAGGGAGGAAGGGGCTGAGAAGCCATCAGACATGGATGTGGAGGCAAACAGTGGGGCGGAGGAGTCAGGGCCGAGCCTCCTGAATGTGGCTCTGCAGATGAGGTCCCTGGAGGCTGTCCAGCTGGATCTGAACACCGTGAATACCCAGGCCGACTGCGCCCTCCAGCAGCTGGAGCATGGGCAGATCCATCAGTACTATCTAGAAAGCAGGAACTACGGCATCCAGAGCATCCCAGGCTTCTGGATCACCACCCTTCGGAACTACCCGCAGCTGTTCGAAATGATTACGGGGCTGAGATGTGGAAATGTTAAGATACATAACCAACCTGGAGGTGAAGGAGTCTTTCTAGGGCAAGCTGCCGGTTCAAGTTCTTTTGAAGAAACCCCTTCTTCAGAAACACTCCGATCGTCAAGGACTACAAGGTCAGACCCACTGGCCAAGTGGTATCACTCTCCACTCCAATCATATGGCGCCCTGGCCATGAATCTCAGCCCTTCATTCATGGGAACCAGGATGCCACGTGTAGTTTCTTCACCTGGCTTCCAGACCACAGCCATCCAGAGCGTGACAGGATCACACAGATAATCAAAGAGGACCTCTGGCCAAACCCACTGCAATACTATCCCTTACACGCAGGGGCCGCTAGAGCCAAATGTCACAAGATAAGAGACCCTGTGGAGATCCCTAGGCCCTTTGGGTTCCAGTCTGGTTAACCATTGCCCATGTGATTACTCCCATACAGGTCCTCTACAACTCACTGCTGGACCAGTGACTAGACAACAGAAACGGGTATGCCTTTTATTGTGTTGACATTTCTGTACCCTCCTTCTTTTAAACTTCTGTTTTTAAACTTTTTCAGCTACAAGACTGAAACTTTATGATTCTGTTGCCTTGTTTCCATATGGTCTTTTTTGCATTTTTTGCATATGCGCTTTTTTGCATTTGTATCATATGATGTCAAGTTCACCTATTCTAAACCAAGCAAATGATGCTGTACATTTCACCCTCTTTATCTGCATTGTTTGGACACTATTTGTTTTCCAGGGCCTTTGGTCTACCACCTAGATTTCAAGCTATTCCTGGAAACATGCTCTTCCCTTCTCTACATTTGTCAGTATAGACATATTGCCTGTGGACAACCGCTGAAGACTGATGACATTGAGAGCATTAATGGGCCATTTGGTCTGTGCAACTTACATGGTTCCATGTTGTTGCTGCTACAGGATTTCCACACTTGAGTTGCTGCCAGTGGATGAACAAACACCAGACCATTGACTGTTATCAGCTACCATTTTCTGTTGTCTGGTAAACAAGGATCTCCAGAACTAGTAAGGGAGCAAGACTTTCTGCCAGAGTATGATTCTTTCCTCCTTAAGGGACTTTCCCCCTGCTTTTCCTAACCACCACCTCTACCTCCACCACCTCCACCACCACCACCTCCACCACCACCACCTCCACCACCTCCACCTCCACCACCTCCACCTCCACCTCCACCACCTCCACCACCTCCACCACCACCACCACCCCACCACCACCACCACCACCCCACCACCTCCACCACCACCTCCATCCACCACCACCCCACCCACCACCACCACCACCCCACCACCCCACCACCTCCACCACCACCTCCACCTCCACCACCACCCACCAACCATCCCCCACCACCACCACCACCTCCACCTCCTCCACCACCACCCCACCACCCCACCACCACCACCACCTCCACCACCACCACCATCACCACTACCACCACCACCACCACCACCACCACCACCACCACCACCACCTCCACCACCACTACCCATCTGCATCATCCAGAAACGCTGTTGACTATAAAGTAAGTGGCTGGGGTGACAGGGTAAACATTATTTTCAAGTAACAAACTTTCTCAACCCCAACCAGTGAATTAATACCAAATATAGGCACTTTTATTTGCCTCCCCTCCTCAGCCTGAAAATAAATGTTTCCAGGGTGGTGATGATATAATTCATCTTCAATCTCTGTATCTCTTCTGGCTCTTTAAAGAAGTTGGTGGCCCCAAAGCATCTATGAAAGTGGGCTTTTGGGTGGTGGTGGTGCACGTTTAATCCCAGCACTCAGGAGGCAGAGCCAGGTGGATCTCTGTGAGTTCGAGGCCAGCCTGGTCTACAGAGTGAGGTCCAGGACAGGCACCAAAGCTACACAGAGAAGCCCTGTCTTGAAAAAACAAAACACAAAACAAAACAAAAAAGTTTCTTTCAAAGGGTAATCAGGCAACAATCCACAACTCTAGAGAAGCTAACTAACAGGGAAGACCCAACGAGGGATGCATGGACCACCCTGGGAAACTGGGCATGAGGGGTGGGTAATGGAGGGTGGGGATAGGGGATGAGAGCATAAGGGAATGGGATGGTTGAACTGGAACAGGGAGGGAGGGAGAATGCAAGGAAAGAGATACCATGACAGAAAGAGACATCATTGGAATATAGAGAAACCCGGTGCTAGGGAAGTTGCCAGGAATCCCCAAGGATGACCCCAGCCTGGGTTACTAGCAATAGTGGAGAGGGTGCCTGAACTGAACTGGCTTGCCCCAGAGATCAGACTGGTGACTACACTAACTGTCATCACGGAACTTTTCTCCAGTGACTGATGGAAGCAGAGGCAAAGATCCACAGCCAATCAGTAGACAGAGCTCCAGTCCAGTCAAAGAGAGAGAAGAGGGATTCTATGAGCAAGTGCATCAGGATCATGATGGAGAAACATGCAGGGATGACCAAACCAAACTAGAGGGAACTCATGAAAGTTGGATCAATGGCTGTTGGAGTCTACATGGGACTGGACTAGGCCCTCTGCATGGAGAGACAGCTGTGTAGCTTGATCTGCTTGGGAGGCCCCCTGGCTGTAGGATCAGAATCCATCTCTGGTGCTTGAGTGGACTTTTTGGAGCCCACTACCTATGATGGGATAACTCTTGCAGCCTTGAAGCAGGGGAAAGGGCTTGGACTTGCCTCTGCTGAATGTGCCTCATGGGAGGCCTTGCCTTCTTGTGGGTGGGAGTGGGGAGTGGGTTAGGATGGGGAGGTTAGGGGGGTGGGAGGAGGGAAGAGGGGGATTTTTGATTGGTGTGAAAATGAATGGAAAAATTTTCTTAATGAAAAAAAAAAGGGAAAAAGTGGGCTTTTTAGTTTAACTTTAAGCTTTTATTTCCAGAGGCAGAGAGGCTTGTAGACTTCCAACACCTTGTCCTCCCTTTAACAATGCCACATGTAGTTTAAGGTTTGAGGGATATAGATTTAGATAGGAAATAAAGGTAATTCCTAGCTTATTGAGGCTAGAACAAAGTTGTGTGTGTACATCCTAAGCAAAGAAAATTGAACCAGAGACCAGAGGTGAAGCAGAAATGAGGTAGGGAAAGAATAGAAGACTAGACTGACAGCTTGTGACAAAGAAGTTTTTACTGTTAGGGTGACAGGAAGAGAAATACATTTCCTGGGGCTGGAAGAATAGCTAAATGATAAGAGCACTAGCAGCCTCTAGGCCTTTGTGTTCCAGCCCTAGCACTGAAAAAAGAAAAAAAAGGTAGAAATACATTTCTCAGGACTGAGATTGGAAAATGAAGATGGTTGGAGTACTCAATGTGCTACCTAGAGAAGGGTTCTTTGAAGGAACCATGTGTTCATTGGGGTTTTCTGATTTCATATGGTAAGAGATTAAAACTATCACAAGTCCTTAGTAATTATCTGTTTCTGTTTACTGGGAAGACAAGCATGCAGATTTTCTTTTGCTTTTAGTTTGGGACAGTTAGGGAAAAATCATTTCTGTGTAATGCAAAGATGTAAATATAACAGTTTTCATCTGTTTTGATTTCTGTTAAAATTATATCCTTAATTTTAATAGCTTGATTTGTCAGACCTTGAAAATTGGATTTTATTATTTTCACGGAAAAATGATTTACAAAAACAATTTTTTGCTCTAATTCAATAATTTGTCTTGTAAGAGGTTATTAACTGATATGTTTCCTTCCTAAATAGCATGCATAGTTGTGAGATTGTAAAACTGGAAGTATACCATTGCCATGTTTGTCTTTCCTTCATGATGATAAAAGAATGCCATTCTTTAAAAAAAAAAGACTCACTCAGGGCTCATTTGAGAGCAGTCTAATACAAATTCTTTAGAAAGCTGAGTGTCTCTGCACACACACATCTTCTAATTCTGGGAACATGTGCATTCCAACTCTGAGTTTGATTCCTGGGACCTACACAGCACAAAGAAAAAAACAATTCCTGCAAGTTGCCCTCTGACTTCCACACCCACAGTGGCACACCTTGGCTACCCACTCTCCAACATACACAAATTATTTTTTATATGTATGGATGTTTTGCCTGCATGTATGTCTATATACCATATACATGCAGTACTCTTGGAAGCCAGAAAAGTGTGTTTGATTCCCTGGGACTGGAGTTACAGTGAGGCACCATGTGGGTGCTGGAAATTGAACCTAGATCCTTTGGAAAAGCAGCCAGTGCTCATAACTGCTGGGTCATCTCTCCAGGCTCAATAATCACAGAATTTTAATACTAAATACTGGTAGTGACTTCAATGTCCACCAATAGGAGAAAGAAATTGTGTGTGTGTGTGTGTGTGTGTGTGTGTGTGTGTGTGTGTGTGTGTGTGTGTGTGGTATAGGCACATGGATGAGGGTGAACCTAGAAAACAAAAGGATATTAGGTGTCATGCTCTGTGATGATATATTGTGTACCCTAATTAAATTTATCTGAAGATCAGAGAACAAGCCACTAGATTAAATGGAGTACAGGCAGTGGTGGCACACACCTTTAATCCTAGCACTCAGGAGCAGAGATTGTCTGGATCTTTGTGAGTTCAAGGCCCCACTGGAAGCAGATCCAGACAGCGGGGGCACACACCTTTAATCCCAGGAAGTGACATCAGGGCAGAGAAAGGTACATAAGGTGTGAGGAAACAGGAACACTTGCTCTTTAGGCTGAGGATTTTGTAGAGGTAAGAATTTGGCTGGCTTGTTCTATTTCTCTGATCCTTCAGCTTTCACCCCAATACCTGGCTCCAGGTTTTCTATTAAGACCATTTAGCAATTCATGTTACACATACCTTTAGCCCTTGAGGATTTAGAGAAACACTAATTGACATGACTTCTAAAATAATTCCTGAAGAAAGCAGAGCCAGCATGGAGAACTCTGTTACATTCTAAGAAATGTTAGTTCTAATTCATTGAGGAGGCTATGCAGTTAAATGAACTGCTTTGTAGTCATAGGCTCAAATTGAGTCAAGCCATTAAATTTTAACTTCACATGAAAACACATGAATAAATTAAAGGAAACAACAGGCTTTCTTAAAGCTCCTAACAATCACCTAGAATAATATCTATTACTTACTGAGCCTTCTATGGTGCAGGGCATTGTGCTGAAGATTTCATGTGCATTATTTTCTTAGTTCTCATGCAATTTCATGAGGTAATATTGACTCCAGTTTTCAGATCAGCAAAGAGACTCAGCTTGCATATAACTTGGATCTAGTTACCTGGCCTAGAAGTGGAAAGCTCCAGTTCAAACCCAGGTCTATCTGAACCCAGAGTGTGACAGCTACATATGGACAGAGATGCTGTCTTCTGTTTTGCAGTAGAAAATTAATCAAAATAATAATTGGTTTAGATTTTCCCAAGTTGCTTTAGTTCCCTAGTAATTGTCTTGGTTTTCAACTTTGAAAAAACAAAACAAAACATCATAATCAAAGTAACTTATAAAATAAAGCACTTAATTTGGGGCTTACGTTTGGTTTTAGAGGGTTAGCATTCATGACCATCATGATGGGGAGCATGACAGCAGGCAGGCATGGAGCTGGAGCAAGAAGAAGGCACACAGGGAGAGCTAACTGGGAGTGGTGTGAGCATTTGGGACCTCAAAGCATGCCCCAGTGACATACCTCCTCCAACAAGGCCACAACTCCAAATCCATCCCAAATAGTTCCATCCCTCTAACGAGGACCAAGTATTCAAACATACAGATATATGGAGGCCATTCTCATTCAAACCACCACACAATTTTCTTAATATGAATGATTTAACAATTTTGATATTCTGTAATAATGAAGTTAAGACAGTGGATTACTGTAAAATCAGAAGTTAGGACTAGTCATATGTAATCATTACTTTTTTGGAGGTAGCTATCATTTTTCTTTTGTTTTATAGGGTTTCACTATGTATCCTTGGCTGGCCAGAGACTGATGATCTTCAGCCTCTCACTCCCATGGACTGGGATTGTGTGCAATATCCCATCATTCTCCACTTCTTAAAATAAAAGCTTGAATATTACAATGTATTATCAAATTTCTCCTTGATATCTGGATGCTACCCACAAACA